AACTATTTAAGAATTTAATTTTTATTATTTTAATTAAAATAATTATTTTTAATTATAATATTTATTAAATGCAGATATATGATTTTATGCATACGAACAAAATAAAGAAAGAACAAGTATTTCCATCAATGCGAGGTTGCTTGATCAAACTAGAAACAGACGAAGATCCTGATGATGCTGTGAAGGTTAGTTAATTAATTAACTACTGTTATTAATTAATTAACAACAACAGAGATAAGTCTTGATCTTAGTTACTAATAAAATATCAATTATCAATATGACACTAAAATGCATATCTTTCAAGCATAAAATTTACATAAAATAATAATATTTATGGCGTTATAGGATTTGCTTGATTTACTGTTGAAAAAGCTCGACGTCAATCGCGACGGTGTAATATCCGAAGAAGAATTTTGTAGGGCCGTAAAAGAAAGAAATCTACTGTTGCTAGAATGTATGGGACCGGTGTTCCCGTCTAGAGTAGCGCGACGAACATTTTTGAGCACATTCACTGATCGCCTTGGACGATTTTGATTTTCCATACGTTTTATGAAAATTTTCATTTGTATATAATTGCATACTTGGTAACGTTTCTATTCTCGTTTTGTTAAAATTGTAACAATAATATTGTAACAATAATATATTAAAAATACGAACAGACTGTTTAAACTATATTGTCAGGAACTATTCAAGCTAAAAAACCCAAAAGTGCATCTCGATGCAGCAGACAGGCAAACGCGTCAAATCAGACAGAAAAATCCTCCTGAACGAGTGATGCTCCAATAAATTTTCAAGACCATCGACGCAACGTACAGCTTTTACGATTCACCGAACGATGGCAATTGACTCGTTCGTTTTCTTCGCAAACAATCGCTAATGGACCGCGATAATGCCACATCCTAATCGCATCAAGCTGCTTCGCAATACGATTCACGAGCGACTTGAATCGATCATTTAATGAACCCTCGCGATCGTCATAAATCTTATTACTATGATCAACGTAAATAGATGATCGATATCCATATATCCGCGCACGCGCTATTTATCGTGATACATCGTGACGGTATTTTTGTAATGTATTATTAGTTATATACATCATAAAAACATTGTAAGATAAAAGATAATATGACCTGAAAGCGCGAAAAGGGGGAAACAGAAGGGGATCTCGAAAGATACCTACTCGGTTGTTCTTCTATCGCTTAGATCGGATGTCGGTTCACCTGCTCCACGATCATTCGATTAATAGAGACCGCTTGTGAGATACGGAACAAATATAGACCTTTCTTACGAGCGAGACGGGCTGCGCAACCCCACGCGAATCGCGGTCGTAGACGCGTTACGAAGAAGAAGAAAAAACATAATGAATGTTTGAGGGATTCTGAGGACGGACGAATGGCCCGATCCGCGTCTCAAGCAGCTACAACAACAAATTAAAAGAAAGTCTTGAGGCTTTCGTCGGCTCTGCCGCCATCTCTCGTTGCCTATGGTTCCCTGTTACAATGCGTGGGCGTAGGGTATACAGTACTGAGGTATATGGGCAACGCGTATTTCTTCCTTGATGATGGTGGGGGCGAGCTGGAACGATATTGTGTAAAGAGTATAATAACGTGCGTATGAAAGGCCGGATCCTTTGTGGGTAGCCGACCGTGTCCTGAAAGGATCTTCCAGGATCTACTTGTGGGGGTGACGGGGGACAACGGGAGGGGAACTACCTAACCACCGAGGGTTAAGGGCACCAGCTGAGAAAACATGCCCGCGGCGTGTCGACGAGACGACGCGGCGTGTTCACGTATACGAGCGCGCGCGCCCGCGTGTGCTAGTCGACGAAAAGAGGCGGATTGACGAACCGATCTGATCTGATTTTTGGGAATGATTGTCGATCTGAAATTCCTTTAAAGGAGCATAGTGGAATAGAATGCGGGTTTTTTTTCGCGTTTCAAAAAAACGTTGCTTGTCTCGACAGATAAATTTATTATATTTGGTTACTGATGGAGATTACGGTCGCCATATATTGGCATGTAATCCGGCATACGCCTGAAGGGACAGACACAAATTGTGCTGACAGCCGAGCGCGACTCGGATAGAAAACGAATAAATTATAATCAGAGTCGCGCGATTGCAAAGAGCGATGGTGATTGCGACCTGCGTAGCGCCGGGAAATTAAGTCCGTTTGTACTCTGGTTTTCAGTGAGTCTCGCTACTCTCAGGAGACAGATTTTATTAGAGATGAAAAATATCTCTAGCGAGACAGATACAAAAACTTCAATCAGACGTAACGGCAGCGTGTATATAAAAATAATGGCAGACAGAACGGCAATATAGACGAGTCATCCCTCTTTCTCGTGAACGTTTCGTGGTAAGTCTCTACTTTTGACGGAAGCTGAAATTGCAGCGGCATGGAATATATGTTACCACGTAATCTAGCCACCGACAGCATGGAATAAGCCGCAGAAGCGGATCCGTGAACGGCGGAAGTGGTATATGCAACGTGGCTGAATACGAAACATAAATTATAATCAGCTCCGGATCAAGCGCGGAATAGCCATGATTACAACGGAGAACGTGATGAGACTCTGGGCGATTCGATTTGCGCGGTCCACGCCCACGCATCAAAGGGACCGACGACGGGATCACGAAAATGTGAGTCTCTTTCCAGTGATAAATCCACGAAGAGACTTGGTTGAATTGACCGCGCTAAAGCCTACGACAGCTCTGTTAGTCGAATATTCATATAAGCTAAATCACTAGGAGAGAGAAAATTTTTTTAAAGAAAAAAAATGCAGTCATGATAGATTGAATTTATTTCTTAAATCCATAAAGGTGTTATCTTTCCTGTACATTTAAGCCTTTGGCTTTGCATTAATCAGAATGTATTAGCCTCTGTCGGGATTTAAAGAGGCAGTTATTTAACTTTACGGCAGATGCAACCCGATACGAATTTACACAGACCTGTCGGCAAGTTTAATTCCGATTCGGCTTTTATTTGCAAACAATGCGCTATAAGGCCCAACTAAAGCCGTACAGTACACATTGTCGGGGCACAATGATCGCAAACATTGAGATTTACAGCGAACCGTATATCCCACGCCCATGTGCGCACTGCATGGTTTCACGAAACCGATAAATTTAATTAAAGCACGTGCCGATAACTTGGAGTATGCGTGTGTATTCGATGGAAGTGAATGCAAGGAATCGACGGGTGTGTTCAATTGTACAGTCGCCTTTCCGAATTGCATCCATAAATATCAACGATGTCGACGTTATAGTCTAACGTGGGGCCGTTTGCTTGAGCAACGATTCGTGCGCGGAATGTTCAATGAAGCATGCAGATGCCGTGTACGCCAAGATACACCACGTGTCGTCCAGTTACGAGAAACTGGGAACCGCGACCTGAGGTCACGCCGTGCGAACATGACACCGCATCTTATCGGAACAGCGGGATCTGCCTTGACATGGGTACTGGACGAATGAAGTTTTGAAGATTCTGTTAACGAATTCAGCAATTTATTTGTTTCCGTATACATGAAAAGAATAATTTTGTATCTAAAAATTTAGTTAGGTACAGACCTGAAAATAATTTTGTTAGCCCATCAAAATATTTACATGAAAATCTTAAGCATAATAATGCTGCAAAAAATTTTGATATTCTAGCAACCAGTTTGAGTGTCTTACACAATTATTTTGATCATCCATCGAAATTATTTTTAGATCTGTATATAAATTTTTAGATGATTTGGCAAAATCATCCTTTCTATGTAAATTGTTCATGTAATTGCCACAATATAGTACAATGGAAACTTGAATTACATCTCAAGACAATTTGAATAGATTAATAACAACTTTTAAATTATATAAATTATATAATGTATTGTATATTATATAAATTATATAAATTATATAATGATTGATGCAATTGAGGTTAATGTAACAATATATGTTTTATATGTTTAATTAAATATGCGACTTCAATCTTTTATATAATTTGAAAAATTCTACTAACTTAAGTTACTCCGCTTTATCCTATTTTTTTATATTTTACTATATTTTACAATAATTTCTATGCACATTATTCCAAGAGTGTCTCTCATCATTTGTTTCATTAAAATAATTATTTAGGATCATAAGGCAATTTTATGAGAGATGGTCTTTAGTAGATAGTAAATTTCGCATTGCGGTCCGTAGTAATTAATCCAATTCTCATTCAACCGACGCAGTTGGCCTCGCGAAATTTCTTTTCCATCGAGATGTTAGTTCAGCTTAGCAAACCGAGCGAAGGAACGTCAGCGAACAGCGATAGGATCTTTGAAAGGCACGGCGGGTAACGCCTGCGTTGTGCCACGCGACTAGACAGTTTTCGGAGAGGGAAGAAAGCAGACGTCCGTCTCTTACACGTGAATCGAGCGTGACGCGTACGCGCCTTGACGGACGGCCATATTAAATCAACTGCCCGGCTCTTCTACTCGTTTGTTTCTCCTTTCAAGCCGGATTCAATTTTCTCCACGGCGCCTTGCAAATCGAGGGATATAACTGCATGGCTAAAATTTACAAATATGATGCCTGACACAATGCCCGCCTTTCGAGAACGGACCAGTGGTTGCCATCCATCCAGTTTTGTAACACTGTCAGTCGAATTTTTATTTTGTTCCTTAACTTTTGTATTCATTTTGTCATTGATTTTTATTTACTTAATTATTTTTATTTAAATACTTAAGAATATCAAAATTCGCAAGAAGTTCTATATTAGTACTTTTAAAGGATTATTAATCCTCGATTGGTAACTATCATTTGGACTTGAGACAAAAATTTTTGGACAATTATACAATCTATACAATTAGTATTATGAGATTTTAAATTGTAGACAAAGAACTTTGAATCTTTCTCTATCAATCGTATGGAGTATTTACTAACATTCTGTACTTCAAAGAGAACGTATTAGAATTTACATAGATGTAATTATTTTATATAGTTGTAGTTATAGTTAAGAATATTCTAAATTTAGAAACATGGAAAATAGTTTTCTTAAATTTTGTAGGATTTATAGCGGAGTTCATTCACATCAAAAAGTGTAAAACACTGCGTGTATTTGGCCAACAGCTCAGCTCGACGAGCTTGATTACCTTCAACAGATAGCGACCAATTAATGATCGAGAAAGAGAGGGCAGATTAATATTGATAAAGGGAGATCATCGTTCTCTCCTTCTTGGCGGTAAGATTCGGACGGGCTGTGTAAGATAATAGCGGTGCGCAGGCCGAGGAGATCAAGGGATCGTCATAAACTATCTTAAGGTGTCGAGTTTGTCACGGTCATGCGAGATCGAGTTTTCAAAACAGGATTAGGCATTCTCCAAATCTCAAGAACGATGTACATTCTCTTTCTCGCCCTTTTTCTCTCTTCTGTGATCCTGCAAAACGTGTGTCGTCTATTTTTTTTTACTGATGTTCTAGTGAAGTTCTTCTTTCTCTCACATCTTCATATTGCGGACCCGATCGAGGATTATTCACATCCGGTCATCTCTGCTGAATTTTTTTCCCTT